TCATTTATAGTAGATGGCAGCTCAACACAAACCGGCCCATATATTTTAGACATGCTTAGTTTTTAAGACCCTCATTTTTCAAAGAAATCTTCCAGATTTTTTTTAGGGTATAAAAGGAATTGTTTGAAAAGAAATTTCTATGTTATTTTTTGGCTGTATGCTAATCTCCTTATTCTATATTAGTTTTAAATTTTTACCTTGAAATCTTGCTTAAAATTAAATAGCGAACCCTAGGTGTGCCCAGACAGGGCTCACCGATAATCTAGAACAACTAAGAGTCTGTGTTCTTTGTTTCTCCGCATCTCATCGGTCAGTTCATTGACAATAATGCTCGTTTCAGCACTCTTTTCGAAGCTCTATTCAATCAGTGTGCCCACCACAGAATTAAACGATAAGTGCTATCTTCACAAAATTTTACTTGTGTACTCCTCTAGGCCTAATTTGACTGCCTACCTTTTTTTTTTTTTTTTTTTTTTTTTTCCATCAAAACTCCAACTTTAAAAAGTAGCGTGCCGGAAAGGGTTAAGATCAATGGGTTTTGATACGATCCGATGTAAATATTTTGTAATTACGTCGTAAATATACATATATTATTAATTATATACGACGTAATTACGTCGTATATAATTAATAATTTACGACGTATTTACGACGTAAATAAGCTCTATAATGGCTTATCCCCAACCGAAATGCAACTTTATTCTAGACATAGACGCCAGCAATGGCGGAATTAGAGATATTCTTTCACAAGAAATTGATGTCCAGGAATACATCATTACCTATTTTAGTAAAACCCCTTAAAACCAGGCAGAAATTACTACGTCATCAGAAAAGAACTGTTAGTCATCGCTAAAGAAATCAAACATGGTCGGAAATTCCTGTTGCGTACCGACCATGCGTTAAATTAGCTGCATAATTTCAAAAATCCGGAGAGTCAGGTGTCTACATGGATACATGAATATGATATGGACATTCGATATAGTAGAGAAATTTCACATGGGAGTTGCATTTCGATTGGGGATAAGCCATTATAGAGCTGATATACTTTCAAGACGACCTTGTGCAGAAAAGTGCAAATATTGTTCGATAGCGAAGTTAAAATATGGCTTTGAAGTTCCAGTTGTTAAACAAATTATTACTTACTCTTTAGCATCAGAGATTGATCCCCGAAGAAGAAAAGAACTAAGAAAGGCATAAATGGAAGATCATGAATTGAGTCATTTTGGAATTAATGGAATTGATGGTAACAATGAATACTGGCAACCCAACTGGCACCGAAGTTGGTAAAGTATGGCGATTTCTCGCCACTTTAGTGACTTTCTGGAAGATTCGGGAAAACATTTTCGAAACCCTATGGCGGATTCTACCGAAATTTCCTCAGTGTCATCTTCAGTTATCAGGCAGACTATACATTGTAAGTGAACCGTAAATAAGTAAATAATGCAAGTGACTACTATGAATGTGAAGAAATATTACATAAGAACTTTGCCAATTATATGAACAGCACATATGATGTACATTGATCTAACCAATTGATATTGTTCAGCATAAATGCATCAGAATAACTTCTTATATCCAAGTTACCACTGACTTCTAGAGTAAACATTATCTGTAAACTAAGAATCACAATGCATAAAACAATGCTAAAATCCTCAATCAGCACAGTCAAATGACAGGGTCTGTTTAACAACCATAGGTCACAAATACCCATCTTCCGAAGTAACTTTATATATTCCGCTACAAATTTTAATATTTTATAGATATTTTTGGCTAGGCCTAACGACAACTGAATGCCTCACCAACTAAGTACAAATGCTGATAGTCATATAATAGGCGGTACAGCAACTCAGCTGGTCGTAAGTAATACGTAAAACCCCACTCTGCAAAATATAAATATGGGTTGGAGGACTAGGGAGCTCATTTGGGAATCAGTTGCCTATCAGCTGTGAGACTTAGCGGTTAGCTGAATTACGAGTTACAGTTTACACTGAGAATTTAAAGAATTTCGCGTGCTACGGAGGAATTGCTAAATATCCGCGTTCTCTTTGAATTATTTCCAGTCATTACCGCGTTGTGAGTACTATTTATTTATTGTGGCTATTTTCTTAATAAATTGCTCATTTTTTCTTCACTATATGGACTCATTATTTAAAGAAACATCAACAATCCTAGCTCGCAACAAAGTTAAAAAATATACAAACAAGAATAAAATAAAAAGTTCAGTGAAAAATAATACATAATATTCCTGTGTATCTACATATATTTTTATGCAGATACATTTTACAGAAATATTTTTCCCCTTATAAACCTAGAGTATAAAAACTAAAAGTATTAACATCATTGTCGGAGGCGTTTCAAACTGTCAACTGATATCTTCAAATTAGAGACTATGGTCTAAAGGAAGAAGGGGTGGAAACACTTTCAATCTAATCTTTGCATTCAGATTTCAAGTTAATGCCTAAAAAAGGTTTAATCTATAACTTATAAACAATTAATCTCCTACAATTCACAGGATATTCAAAATAGCAATACGGAACGACAATGCAAGGGGAAAAGCACACTACAATACTATTCCATCATAAATTAACGGCACTTCAAAACATTTGCAAATAATTAAATAAGAAAATAAATATTCAAGATGTTAATCGCGTACCTTTTTTTCTTACAGAATCACTTATGCACGAAGCTTGCAGGAAAAATTTCAATTAACGTGATGATAATTTCATTAGGACGCGAAATTCGCACACGTTGGGAGGTGATTTCACAGGTGTTGAAAAATATTACCTTGTAATCTGAAAGGTCCTGATTCGAAAATTTGAAAGTACAGTCCAGTACGAAAAGCGGCTTACTATTAATATTTTAATTAAGAAATATAAAAGTAATCCTTTAATATAAAAACATAATTTATTTATCAGTTTAAAAAGAATATATATTTTTGGAAACTAAATCTCTTTAAAAACTAAATCTTTAGCAATAAATAAATTAAAATTCAATTAAAAAAAGAACCTCAATTTTAGAAGTTCTCATATTTATTTTCGCACTTTTTTCGGGGAGGCGGGATGTAGAATGGATTCAACAGAAAATTATCGAAATATTAAAAACGCATATTATCATTCGAACAAAAAATAAATAAATAAATATACATGTAATATAAAACATTTTATATGTATGTCAACAGAACAAGCAAGAGTCAGAAATTTTAAAATCATATTACACAGATTAAACACATATTTATCATTAAGACACAATAACACGCCGAATAAATACTAATTCAGAAGTCAAACAACAAAAATCAGCGTTATACCTACAAAATTTTCGCAGCTGAAGATGATGGTTCGGTAAAACCATCGAAACTAGTCCTGTGAAAATTTTGTAGGTATAACGCTGATTTTTGTTGTTTGACTTCTGAATTAGTACATATTTATCACTTAGGTCACAAAATAAGAGTTTTTGGAGAATGTTATTAAGAAATATAGATAAAATAACATTTTAAATTATTCATTTTCTTTCCCTGACGAGCAATGCACTTTTATAACATCGATGATAAATATAAGATTTTACGTACTGTTGATTGACAACAATATGTTTTGGGATCTATACAGTAGAAGTCCGATAATCCGGCACGTTCGGGACCGGCTCGGTGCCGGACTACCGAAAATTCCGGTCTATCGGGCGGTAATTATAAGAACAATTAGGTTAATAATTAAACTAAAAATACAGTAAGCAAATACATACAACAAAGTTTATTTTACATTTCATATAATGTATGTACACGTATTGTAAAACATATTTCACTTAGATTTAAAAAAGTCACGAATGTCTTTTTGTTTTCTTGACTTTTGGCGTTTAGTATAAAATTTAGCAAACGTTTAGTAAACTTCATTAGTTCATCTTTTTGTTTTTTAATGTCATAAATAGTTGATGAGCCAATATTAAATAGTCATAAATAGTTGATAAATCATAATAGTTGATGAGCCAATATTAAATTCATTCATTAAAACATTTCTATTCTCGCCTTTTTCTAGCCGTTTGATGATTTCTAGTTTCTGATTGAGAGTCAGTGTTACGTGTTTTCGTTTCTCTCCTTTTGAACTCGAAGGCTTAGGTTTTGAAAACATGGTCACTGTACAGTTAGAACGAAAATCACTTTTTTTATAAACAGTTTCAAAAGTTACGTTTACTGCGATGTGAAAGGACAAAACAACAACGCACAAAAAAAATGGCGAAGACGCTTCGTGATTGATTAACGGAGCTGCACTGCACCTGAATTTTGTTGTGACAGCTGAGACTAAGCCGGCCGCTAATTGTTTTTCCGAACAATACCGAGCGCTTCCGGATGATCTCGAACTACCCCGAAAACTTCCGAATAGCTCTCGAGCGGTTTTATTTGCTTTAAAGATACACTTTTGGAGAAAACCAAAATTTTTACAATTTTCCGGAGCGATGCCGGACTGGGCATTCCGGACTTTGGATGCCGGACCCCCCCCCCCCCCCCCCCCCCCCCCCCCCCCCCCCCCCCCCCCCCCCCCCCCCCCCCCCCCCCCCCCCCCCCCCCCCCCCCACATTCACTATTAATTAAACAAACAAAATGTTATCAATAAATGAAAAAAAAAAAATTTTTTTTCCAGGTTTAAAAAAATGTCAAAATGAAACATGCAGGATCAAAACGAAAATGACAAATTCTTAAAATTAACTTCCCAACTTCGTTAGCCATAAAATTCCTTAGCAATCATTTTATCCATTAAAAATCAATGCATTATTAAAATAATTTTAATTAAAAAATTAAAATTATTTAAAATTGTACAATTAAAAAAATTTTCTGTTCTTACAATTAAAAAACTGAATAATAAGTAAACTTCAACAAAAAAAACGATAAAATTATTAATAGATATTATATAATTTTGAAATACATTCTGAACTTGAATATTAAATTAAAACACAGGTTAACGCGATGACCGAAGTTTCCTCCAGCATAGATACATAGATGCCAAATAACTCACCTACTAGTACGCATCAAGCGGTTATGATAAATCAGCAGACGGTAGAACACGAAAAACCTGACAGCTTCCGTGACACAGCTGCAGACACCAGCGTCATTCCGGCTGATGCAATACTGCGCGAGAGAATGAATTCAGTGGAGCTTACCGGAGAAACTAAAAGGCATGCGGTAGTTTAAGGAAAAGGTTATTAAATGTTACTAGTGGGGAAAATGATCCGACAAGCTACGTAACGGTTTAGAAAATAACCAATATGCACAATGAATGGCTCAGACAGCATGGTAAGCCATTAAAAAAAAAGTAAATTTGTAAAAAATATGTGACCTACTTATGGCAAAACTTGTTTCTGAGTTATGCATTTGGTAACAATAGCTTTCTTCTTTTAAAATGCTACACAAATGATAAGCTTAAAAAGGGGAAGTTTAAAAAAAAATTTTTAGACGAAGTTTCAAATAATAATATCATTTTACAAAACAGATCAGCTTTAAAAAACATTATTAGCCAAAGAAGTCGATACAAACTCAATCGAACTTGTAATTTAAATGAAAAATTTTGTAAACACAAACTATAATTACATTTTGGCTATATTCGAAAAATCTTCTAAAAAGAAAAATCTTCTAATTTTTTAACTATAATTTTTGATTTTCAAATTGGAAATTTACGTTATATTTAAAATGGCATTTACGGTTAATTTCACAAATTTTACTTTGTCAAAATAATTTTAAAAGAATAATCATCTTTTTTATTGTTGGGATTTACAGAATTTTTTACTACTAAAATAAGTTTATAAACTAATTAGTAAGATAAAAGTATCTAAAAGATGAGCAATGACTAAAGACGTAACAAATTTTAGATTCTAAATATTTTCATGCACAACCTCAAAGGATATCAGAAAGTAAAATGATAATGCAGTACTTTTAAAAAATTCATACATGTTTTCGAAATTCCCGTTTTAACAATAAAATTTCCAAAAATACGAGTGAATTTTTCAAAATTTTGCACAAAAATTATGTTCAATTTAAATATTTGATTTGTAATTTTCTCGTTATCTCAGACTACTATACAGAAAAATAAATATCTTCAGTTGAGATACAAAGATGTATATCATCAGATACAAAAACGTAAAGTAAATAAAGTACTGAAAGTAAAAAATATTTTTAAAATGTTTTTAAAGCTCATAAATAATTAATGAACTCTAAGGAGAAAAATAATGTATCATATAGTTTAATGGGATTAAAAAATTATTTTTATGGAATTCATCCACAATTTTACATCACGAATTATTAAAGCATGGAAATGAATTTATAAAGATAATTGACTATACTTTTGACAATGCCATTAATACATTTAATAATTACATAATAATAAAAATTAATATATTTCGTTTTTTAGGCGCCCACGTTTTAATTACTCGAAACTGCGGATGAATTCTGTAAAGAGAATGTTTCAATCTATTATTCCTACTAAAGTGAATGATAAATGACAATATTTTTCCCCTTTTGAAGAAATTAATTATTTTATGAATAGAAGAAATACAGAAGAAACATGATCAGAATAGAAACGTATTCAAAAAAAAATCTTTTTAGCTCAAAGGGACATTAGCGCAGAAGGGCTAAACGGCCTTTTGCACCGAATCACTGTAAACAGCTGTATCACTTTTGAAATTGTTGCCATCAAATATTATCGTGTGGTATTACATTTAAAGAAATTAAAAGAATCTGCATGAATGTACGTATGTTTCTCACATTGTGAAAAAACAACGGTACCTAGAGCCCTTAAATTTTGAATAACGTAGTCTTCCACCCGAACATGGGAACCCGGAAGCCCGAATCCTGAATTCCGAATTTCATTTATTATCTATTTCATATTTTTTAAACTTTGACGAATTTTTGATTAACAAACTCAACGATTTCAAAGTGAGTAATGGCAACACACTGTACGGAATAAAATATTTTTATCTTAAAATACTTGAAAGGCCTGGTTTTATACTAGAAATGAAGCAATAAATATAGCAAAGATCATGGAAATAATTAATAAAAACATGGTCACAATTGGAATAGAACAATAACAAACAACATCCAATATGGCTGCTGCTGGAGACTTCGTTTATTTATGTTGTGTTGTTCTATATGTTTTTCCTTCGTGGCCGGTGTAGAAAAGCCATAAGGCGAGCTCGGACTTGCCAGGAGAGTGGACCGCGCCATACCTACCTACCTTTAAACTATATCAAACTACTACAAATTATATTGTTCACAATGATTGAGTAAAGATAATTAAGATCGATGTGGGTCTGAATTCTGCTGAGCGAGCTAACTGCATGAGCTACATAACTTTTCCCAAAAATCCTTAATAAAGGCATCCGTTTCCTTCCGCATATCGCTTTCGTATGCTTCGCTGTAATCAAACACTTCAATCCAAGCTGTTACAGTAGATTTACTCTAAACCAGCCTCTAAGATACACGACCGTAAGGAGATAAATGAAAGAATAATTAATCCAAAAAGGAATATAAAATAAAATTTATAGGTTGTTAAAAATAAGACCACAAAAGTGTGCACATATAAATAATTCATATTATTTTGTTTTAACTTTTAACTTTTTTAAGAAAAACAAAAAAAGAAAGAAAAAGAATCCCACATTTTTTTAAACAAAATCACTTCACTCTTTTTGTAAAAATATCAGTACTATAAGAATTGTTTTCCTGATAGATACAGAAGCGAATTTACAAGGTTCCAGCAACTCGTAACTGCAACGGGCCTCCAAACAATTAGTTAATTAAAAAATTAGTAAACATACCCAGTGTCTTAAAATAAAGATCTTTCAAAAGCTCAGGTGCAGTGGGCCACCCACTCCATAAACTGTCACTTTTTTTAAATTTAAATTTTCGATGTATATTCATAAAGCATCATTAACCCCCACCCCCTTCTTCAAAATATACTTTCCGGAAAAGCTCTTTCCAATCGTATCTGCTTACTAAAATCTTCAAAAATAGAAATTTCCGAATCATTCAGCGAAATTTTTCATAAGCATTCAATTCATTACACTGCATATTTAATGTTGTTAAATCTTTCAACAGCATGAAATTTTGAAAAATCAACTGTGCTTTCGACGAATGACGACATGAAAAAAGTATGTGGGAGATATAAATATATTAGAATATATATTAAAAAAAACTAAAAGCTTTCAGATTTTATACTACGTCCAAAGGGGGGTATTTTTAATTTACACATGCATACACGTTTCGAGAGCATTTGGGCTAACGCCCTTTTGGGTTAAAAATATTTAAAAACAGCATATCTTTAGAATTTACGATCGACAGTCTGGCACGCTGGAGATAAAAAAGTTTTTTCTTTTCCCGTACGGTGTCGTCATTGCTCGCTTTATAATTGATGAGTTTGTTAATCAAAAATTTTGTTAAAGTTTAAAAAAATATGAAATAGATAATAAAATAAATTCGAAATTCGGGTGGAGGACTACGTTATTCAAAATTTGATGGCCTTTAAATACAGTTTTTTTTTCCCAATGCGAAAACCATACATACATTCATGCAGATTATTCAATTTCTTTAAATATAATACAAATTCCATACAATATATCCAATTCACATGTATTCTAACGCTTTTAATTTCCATAATTAATCTTATAACAGGCGTGTTAAAAAATGCTACATGCTACGAGAATAGGCTACGCCGCGTAAAATGCACAATGAAATTACCGTTAAGGAATGCATTAAAATAGTATTGCTATTCCAATATTATAACTTTTTAACATATTATTGTAATAAATTACAGTATTATACTTAAATGCTACGCTTTCTGCGAATAGACTTTTATGTGGTGTTTTATGCTATTTAATAAAATTAACCATTCCTTCTTGACATATTGCTCAAATTCACTACTGTGCTTCTTTTAAATACTATCTTTGCTTCAACTTCGTTCTACTCAAACTTTTTTTTTCCCCCCAGTTCTTGTAACTGTTGGCAAATTTCTTTAGTAGTCAGATCTCTATACATCTTTACTATATATTGAAATGTGTTATTTAAGAAACTACATTGAAATATGCAGGAATTTCTAATTCATTATGCATTCAAATGAATCTAAAAGCACCGTTCATAACGAACAATTTTAATTAAAATAATGTTTAAAATGACATGTGAAAAAATTGCGAGGTAAAAATACTTAAGTTCAATGTTAATTAAAAATTTAAATGGTTAATTAGAAACCAAATTATGGCCTTTGACAATAAATAAACAAATAAGAAATTTAAAACCCCATAGTCAGGCACGAACATCAGAGCATTTTCTAGGTGGTTAATATGGTCCTTTCCCGTTTGTTCATTATATCATATCAATGTAAAATGAAAAAACAAGGTAAAGCATGTACACTGCGGGGAAAAAAAAGGGGGGACAGTTCTACATCTCCCGTTCTACTGGGTCGATTGACGAAATTCAACTTGCGTTTTTTGTGTCTCGAAGGCGCGACTTAGGACATGTATTAGATTTATACAAAGTGACACCAAAAAGTAGACTGATGTCATAATAATAACTGTATTATATATTTACATAAAAATACATCACTGTCCTTCAAAGTAGTTTCCGCCGTCTTCAATACACTTCAGACAACGTTCATACAAGTTCTGGAAACTTTTCAAAAGTTTCCAGAACTTTGAGACTGTGTTAAGTTCTTTGGTAACAGCAGTTTGAATGTCTGAGATGCTTGAAAATCGGTGCTCCTTTAGTTACTCCGTAACCTTTAGCTGCGCGAGGAACCGTCTAACACACATTGCAGTATAAGGGCGTGCATTATCATGCAACAGAAACCACTTGCCTGATGCAGCGAGATAGGGCCGAACACGACGAATGCGATCCAGGAGGCGTTTCATAGCATGGCAATAAAATTCACCATTAACTGTTTGACCATCCGGCACGTATTCATTAGGGATAATTCCCTGTGCGGTAGAAAACGGTAATCAACATTTTTTTATGATTTATTTTAAAATTTATATTTTTAAATAACTTTTATAAATTTTTCGAAAACATTTTTAAAATATAACTCATAAAAATTTTACCATCATTTTAAAGCATATGTATTTCTAAGCATACCTGCAAAAAA